CGCAGCCAATAGCTTTAAAGCTGTCGCTCCCGCGTCTGCGCGCGCATCATTCTCGCGCTCTGATTAGTCCGCGATTTTCCTTAATAATTCAAAAACGCAGCTTCAAATCCAATTTTTGTAAAGGGAAATTTTATTCAGAATTACGTTAGCTACCTCCCATTTCAGCGTCGTACACTAATTAGATAACTTATATACTTATTCAATAGTAGTAGATACAGATTTTTATTATTAATATACAATGTTATTATACAATATAATGTTAATATACAATATAATGTTTATATATAATATAATGTTAATATACAATATAATATTTATATGCAATATGATGTTTATATATAATATAATGTTATTATACAATATAATATATAATATATAATAGATTTTTCATCAGAAACAGACAAATGCTTACACACTTTCAAAATTACATAAAATTCGTCCACAACAATTACTAAAATTTATACTGCACGGTTTTCACGTCACTGCAGGAAAGAAAGTAAAATTTTTCTCGCAAAAAGATACAGTTTAAAACAGCATACGTTTAATTGATCAGAGGTTAAAAAGTGCGTAAAATTTCTTTGGAAGAAATACCTGGAAGTGCGTTTCGTTTCATTGGTAAAAAGTCGAACTCTTAAGGAATCGACGATTGAGTACCAACTGACAGTTACAGGTGAGAGAAAGTTTGAAGAAAAGAAGCGTAATGATACGACCTCGAGCAATCGATGGATGATAGACATACTGACGAATGTACTGATCCATCAAAATATCGCTGGGAAGATTACCGTTTATTATACTCCAGGAAATTTAGGTCGGGAAAATTAGCGGCGAAGAAAGTAAATCTTTTGGGTATTTAAGGAGAGAGGATTTTTGGCAGTGATATTACAGTTACAGGTTTTTATCTTCGTTAAAGAATTTTTGTCGACTGATCATAGGACATAGGGTTATTTTAAGCTAGTTAATAAAATAGAATTAGTGTAAACAATTTCAGCCTGTGCAATATGCATTAATATTTAAAAAAGCATTCTAAAATTTGTTTAAGGATGAAATCAAAAGGGATGAAGGATTACATTGTCAATTTTTTAAAATTACATATTGTAAAATGAAACTTTTATTGAAACCTTCATTCCACTGTACATTGTAAAATCCATTAACATGTTATACATATGTGTAATATGATATGCGTGTAAAAGGATACGTATTGTGAGAATATAATATGAGAATATTATTAATGCAAGCAATATATATGACTATTAAAGTTATATCCTTAATATCAGTTTTCAAAAATAAAATTATGAATGCACAGTGAATTTTTATGATCACGGAAATAAACTAATTTATTCTGAATTAGTAAACAGTATAAATGGTTAATAATTCGAGGTGTATGTGATGTTATATGAAACAGTAAACGTTCTTCTCTGCCTATTTCCGTTTATTTTCACCAGAAGGAAACAAGTTCTAATTGTAAAATCCTGCATATTTACAGCTGCAAATTTGCAGCACAGAAAGTAGCAACTTAATAAATATCTGATTTTCGTGTTGCGTATCGAGCACGAGATCTAAACACCAAATCACATCTACATATAATCTACATGATACTCGAAAAAAGACCATAAAAACCTGAAACTTCCCATCCTTAAATAGATTAAAATTAACAAATAAAAGTAAAAGTCAAAGTAAAAGTGAATAAATAAACAAACGAAAGTCGCAGTGAATAAATAAACAGAAGTCAAAGCAAAAAAAAAGTAAAGTTTGTTAAAAAAAATTTCTTAAACATTAAATTTGTTAATTTATTAAACAAAGCTGTTAATACGTAGGTTTGTAATGATTCATGAGTTGATTCAATTACGTAAGACAATTATATAAATCAATTAAAGCTTGAAAACAAAAACAGAAAGAAATCAAAGGATCCTTGAGAGAGGCTGCGTTGAAAGGAAACGGTAAATAGAGAAACTGATTGAGAATGACGCATAATAGTGCGGAACTAAACGTGACACGCACAAACATCTCATTAAAAGAAGAAATCGCGGTGATGTATTTTGTTCTTGGAACGAAGCTGTGCTACGCTGAAAACATGTTGATTCACTTTTATCAGAAAATTTATTGCGCTGGAAGATGTAGAGGATAAAAAAAACTGTGACCTTGAATATGGAGATTTGGGAAATATTGGAATTTGGGGAATTTTAGGATTTGGGGAAATTTGGCAGTTGGGACATTTTAGGATTTGGGAAAATTTGAGATTTCGAAGCTTTGGAATTTGGGGAAATTTAGTATTTGGGACTTTTGGAATTTGAAGAATTTTAGGATTTGGGGAAATTTGAGATTTGGGAACTTTGGAATTTGGGGAATTTTGAGATTTGGAAATGTTGGGATTAGGGGAATTTTGGAATTTAGGGAATTATGGGAGTTGGGACATTTTAGGATTTGGAGAAATTTGAGATTTGGAATTTTCGGAGTTGGGCAATTTTGGAATTTGGAAATATTGGGACTAGGAGAATTTTAGAATTTAGGGAATTTTACGACTTGGGAAATTTTGAGATTTGGGAATTTTGGGATTTGGAAATTTTGTGATTTGGGAATTCTGGAAGTTGGGGAATTTTAGAAATTTGGAAATGATGGAACTAGGGGAATTTCGAAATTTGGGGAAATTTGAGATTTCGAAGCGTTGGAATTTGGGGAAATTTGAGATTTCTAAGCCTTGCAATTTAAGGAAATTTAGTATTTGGACATTTTGGGAGTTGGGGAATTTTGGAATTTGAAGAATTTGAGGAATTTGGGGAATTTTGAGATTTGGTACCTTTTGAATTTGACAAACTTTGAGTTCGTAAATTTTGGAATTCATGATTTATTGTAATTTGCATGATATTCAGAACTATTCATTTTTATACGATCTTCAATTATTATTCCATCGAATTAGATGATATATGAATTTGATGCACGCATGCCAGAATTTATAGCATTCAATTCGGGTCATGATCGCCGTACCTTTACAGGCCAGAATTTCGTAAACGTCTAGTTGACATTTAACTTCTGTTCTCAAGTGGAAGTACCATATCCCAGTTAACTTTTACTCCGTAGAATGTAGAAACTGCATCGACAAACTCTGCTGTTAATTAACTACCAACTGTACTAATCCATCTTATCGCAATTTAAATTATATAAACATTAAATTGAACCAAAAGTCTAAAACAGCTCCTATAAAATAAAATTAAAATAAATGCTACAACTTTTTAATTTTAATTTAAAGATATAACAGTTATGTTAGTTCAATCAGTTAGGTTAGGTCATCTTGAAGAACATCTCAAGTCCTCACAATCTATATTTAAAAATTGACGTAATCTTTCAAAAAATTACATAAAATTAAATATCAATGGAAGATTAACAAAATTAATGAAACTCAGAAACTGTCATAATGTGCAATATTTTAGTTCATGAATTCCGATCGCTTCGCGAATAAAAGAAAACATCAGATGCCCACCTGAATTACCTGGATAATATCCTAACTTGTTGTTTCAAGGGTTTTTCATATTACTCCACACTGAAGAGACTGAAATGTTAAAACAAAAAGACGCCTGGAAAAATATTTCTCTACAGTTCATTTACGAATACAGTCACATGAAAGATATACGAAGAGTGGTCTTCGATAAAAACAATTTTATCACATTTTTTTTATTTTGAGCGATAAATGTGTAAGAGAGTATCTATTAATGGAAATATATTGTTTAGTAACGAGTTCAAATAGAAACTTTTATGTATGAAAAGAATGTTAAAGGAACGCTTTTCACTGGGCGCCATCTTGGTGTTCTGAAGTTGTACCTCAAAATGGCGGCTGTTCTTTTATAATGAAAAATTTCTGTTTCCATCAAGCACAATAATTTTACTAGTTTTACTATTTTATTATTTTTATTTTATTATTTACTATTATTCTATATCTTCATATCTTCATACAAATTATTCGTGAAATTTTATTATATTTTTTTACGAGCTACATTCTTTTCTGCAAGATGTATCTTGCAGATCACAGATTAGACTGTCTCCTTCAAAATTCATTCACTCGTAGATGAGATCAGGTTACTATTCAAAATGTACGATTTCTATTTTTAGTTACGGTGAAAGTAAAATGGTTGCCAGGGGGATGAGTTACAACATTTTTCTTGAAAATTCTACATCTTTAATTCTCAAGTGACCTGACAGTGAATGAGAAGTGAACGAAGACTCTCAAGGGTCAAGAGTAAGCACAAATTACTTCTAACATGACTTTTGAGACCTCCAGTGGAGGATTGATACGTTATATTTATCAAATATTAAAAAATACTTTTATATGCATTCGTTATGAAGTTTAAAAAAATTTTTAAAGTAAAATTGCAAAATGTAACTTTGTAGAACTCTTAAGTACAGTCTGAAAAGTATCCCTAAAAAATACTTTGTTACTTCAAATTAAAATTTTTACTTGATTTTTTAATTTCTTCTTTTAAAATAATAATGAGTAATTTTTGAACATCTACTATCTCACCTAACCTAACCCTAAAATAAACAAAAACCGAAATGTACCAATCTTGCGGAGTTCCTAAAAATCCCCAAAAGATGAAGTCTGAAGTATTTCTTAATGACCATTAAATATTTTCTTCGCATCGACAATATACAATCTGTAAACTCCTATTATAATTAGAATCCACATCGACCTTGGTAACCTTGTTTCACTTGCTAAGCAACTTCTTTATCGTCCATTCTTACGTATCGTTCAGTTTCTTCCGTGTCCTCCCGCACCCTACGTCACTAGGTGGTACGATATCTGAACCAGTGTCTATTCGTTGTGCGATTGTTCAAAGTATCGAAACCAATAGTTTGTTTGTACTACGAAAATATTTCGTTTAAGAGTGACGTTCAAATTTGGCAGTGTGACGGATTAGGTCAGAGATTATAATATCAGACCAAATACTCACATCCCTAAATTCCTAAATACTCAAATTCCTACATGACCAAATTCCTATGATTCTTAATTCCCAGTGCACCAAATCCACCAATTTCTGGTTCACTAAATTCCCAAATTCTCACATGAAGACCCTAAAAGCCTTGAATATTCTAATTCCTATTTCTCTATCCTCCATCACCAAATCCCCAAATTCCCACATCCAAAGATCCTAATATTCTTGAGCCCAAATACTCACATCCCCAAAATCCTAAATACTCAAATCCCTACATGACCAAATTCCTATGATTCTTAATTCTCAGTGCACCAAATCCACCAATTCCTAGTTCACCAATTCCCCAAATTCCCACACGAAGACCCCAAAAAACCTTGAATCCACAAATCCCCATGTCCCTACCTTGCATCACCAAATCCCCAAATTCCCACATGAAGACCCTACAAACCTTGAATCTTCTAATTCCCATTCCCCTACCTTCCATCACCAAATCCCCAAATTTCCACATGAAGACCCCACCAACCTTGAATCTCCTAACCCCTATTTCCCTACCTTCTATCACCAAATCCCCCAATCCCCAAAACCTTACAAATCCCAAAAATCCATCACCTAAGAATGCACCACATTTTCCTCAGTACCAAAGTGTTCCATCACCAAATCCCCCAATATCCAAATCCTCACAAATCTCAAAAACTTGCCAACCAAGAATGCACCAGATTTTCCTCAGTAACAGAGTATTCCATCACTAAATCCCCCAATATCCAAAACCTCAAAACTCCCAAAAATCCATCACCTAAAAATGTACCACATTTTCCTCCGTAACAGAGTGTTCCATCACCAAATCCCCCAACATCCAAAACCTCACAAATCCCAAAAACTCGCCAACCAAGAATGCACCACATTTTCTTCAGTAACAGAATCTCCCGCCAATGCATCTCACTCCGTCCCTCTCCTCTAAAAACCTCAGTCGCAAGAAGACCGTCGCAAAAGAAATTGGTGAACAGTCAGGCGTGTGATCCTTTCTAAACGATGGAATTAATCGTTCGAATTGTATGCGGTTTAAAGACAAATCGGCCCGATCTTTTTTTCTCCGCGCGGGGTACCTACCGACCCCGCGATACTACTTCTACACTTTCTCCCACCATTTATAAAGTTCGGTTCGTATCTGGCACTCGTTCAGTCGTCCTGGCAGCACGTGTTTGGAATATTGGCCGAGAAAACGGCAGGGTTCAGAGCACATGAAGTGACTTTGTTTGAAATTTGTTCGATTTGTGCGGCGAACGAGGCTCCACGAAGGGATAGCAAGTTCTGGTGCCACGGGAAACGGAAGTTCGAGCTAACCGGTGGGTTAAATGTTCACCTACTTCACAATTACCACCTACTACGCGTTCTGGATCAGATTGTAGAAGTTTTATGGACCGGCTGTTTCTCGTGTGACGCTCGTGTCGGAATTCCGTTGATTGATGACTGAAGGTCGTGAAAGTTCAAGATTTTGATGGGTTGTTTTTTGGGATTTGTTGGAAAGATGAGGGGGTAGTTTTTAGTGGGTGTTTGATAGAGGGGTTTTTTGGGTAAGTGGGTTGGGTAGTTGAGGTTATTGGGCTTGGGTGGAGTTGTTGGTTTTTTGGGGATTGTTAGATGGAAATTTGGAGATTTGGGGAGGTGCAAAGGTTGGGGTTTGGGGAGTTAGAGATATAAGAATTTGGGGATTTTGGGGATTGGGAGATGGAATTTTGGGATTTGGGGGTTTGGAGATACTGGAATTTGAGGAATTGGAAATATTGGAATTTGGGGATTTGGTGATGAAATTTTGGGGATTTGGTGACACTAGAATTTGGGGGTTTGGAGATACTGGAATTTGAGGATTTGGAAATATTGGAATTTGGGGATTTGGTGATGTTTTGAGTTTTGACATTTGGTAATGATGGAATTTGGGGGTTTGGAGATACTGGAATTTGAGGAACTGGAAATATTGGAATTTGGGGATTTGGTAATAGAGTTTTGGGATTTGGTAATGATGGAATTTGGGAATTTGGAGATAGTGGCATTTGAGGATTTGGAAATATTGGAATTTGGGAGTTTGGAGATAGTGGCATTTGTGGATTTGGAAATATTGGAATTTGGGGATTTGGAGATGGAATTGTGGGATTTGGTGATATTGGAATTTGGGGATTTGGAGATACTGGAATTTGAGGAATTGGAAATATTGGAATTTTGGGATTTGGTGATGGAATTTTAGGGATTTGGTGACACTAGAATTTGGGGATTTGGAGATACTGGAATTAGTGGAATTGGTAATATTGGAATTTGAGGATTTGGAAATTTGGTGACGTAGGAATTAGAAGAATTGAAAATTTGGAAATATTAGAATTTGGGGATTTGGAAATTTGGTAATATGGGAATTAGGGGAATTGAAAATTTGGAAATATGGAAGTCAAGAAATTTGAGAATTTAGAAAATGGCAAATTTGAAAATGTGAAAATTTAACAAATGAAAATTTGCAAATGTGGGAATTTAGAAATGTGAGTATTAGAAAATGTAGAGATTTGCTAATTAGAAAATTTGAAAATGTTAAAACTCGTGAATTAATTCGTCGTCTTGCTTTCCATGTCGAAACGAATGTTCACACTTGAACGATTACAAACCAGTTTTTCAATCATCGAATATACAATAATTTTAATAGCACATTTGACAGCAATATCCTTTTAATAAGTTAATAAAAATTGAATCAAAAACAGATCAAACACTAAACAAATCAAAGCTTACTTACATAACAATAATTCTTAAAATATCATAAAGTAAAAAATTCCTAAGATATCATAAATGGTACTAATTTTCCTTATGGACTAAAAAATAATTAAACGATCTTGATAAATATTCTTGCATAGTTCCACAAAATTTATTTATTTGAATTAAGTACAATGACGGACAGCATAAATTTATTAATTAAATAAAAACATGTTTGTAGACAATTTCTGTGTATCACAGAAAAACTTGATATACGTCAGGATACTCTGACAGTTGTGACAATAAAACGTCTGCAGCAGGTGTAACATTTTAATGAAATTATTTACAGTTGGAAAATCTGAAAATTGAAGCTAAAAATATGTGAACGATATTTAACAAAATATGTGTACATTTTAACGTTTTTATAAAAACGCGTGTCTTACACGTGGAATTCAGTTACTCAGATATATGTAATGTAATTTCAGCCGTTTGATAAATCCAGTTCTTTGTGTTATCTTTACTTTTATTATTGTTTTGCAATTATTTAATTCATTGCAATTTGGGGAATTTTGGGATTTGGAAAATTTTGAGATTTGGGGAATTTTCGGACTAGGGGAATTTTAAGATTTTAGGAATTTTGGGATTTGGGGAATTTTGGGACTAGGAGAAGTTTAGGATTCTGGGAATTCTGGGATTTGGGGAATTTTAAGATTTGGAGAGTTTTGGGGTTTGAGGAATTTGGAATTATGGGGATTTTGGGACTTAGGGAATTTTGAGGTTTGGAAAATTTTGGGATTAGGGAAATTTTGAGGAATTTGGAACTAGGGGATTTTTGGAATTTGGAAAATTTTGAGGTTTGGAGAATTTTGGGATTCGGGGAATTTTAGAATTCTAGGAATTTTGGGATTTGGGGAATTTTGGGACTAGGAGAAGTTTAGGATTCTGGGAATTCTGGGATTTGGGGAATTTTGAGATTTGGAAAATTCTGGGATTTGGGGAATTTTGAGATTTGGAAAATTTTGGGATTAGGGGAATTTTGAGATTTGGAAAATTTTGGGATTAGGGGAATTTTGAGAAATTTGGAACTAGGGGAATGTTGGGATTTAGGGAATTCTGGGATTTGGGAAATTTGGAATTAGGGGAATTTTGGAATTTGAGAAATTTTGGGACTAGGAGAAGTTTAGAATTCTGCGAATTCTGGGATTTGGGGAATTTTGAGATTAGGAAAATTTTGAGAAATTTTGGGATTTGAGGAATTTTTAGATTTAGTAACTTTGAAATTTAGGAAATTTTGGGAACTTTAGAATTTGAAATTCAGTCTCTCAGATACAATTCAATTTCAGCTGTGTACTAAATCAAATTCTTGGTATTATCTCTTATTTTATAAATATTTAATTAATTTTAATATGTGATAAACATTCACTTCGAAATTGAATAAATTTCTTTTTGCACATATACAAATTCAGTAATTTCAGTCTGCAAACTTAAAATACCACTAAATTATTACAATCATTATAATTTGATATTTTTGCAAAAGTTCTATCATTCAATTAAAAACAAGATAAAAAATTAAGCAATTACAATTGTCAAAAACGTCCTCCTATTAAATGATAAAAGTTTGAATAAAAATAGTGGAATAATAATTTGAAGTTTGTTACTAATGCATTACTATTTCTGTGCTAACGTAAGTTTGCAACGAAACACGTGTATAGTACTATTAATTATAGTTTGCTGCGTTAATTACGATACCCGGGAAACTCTAATTAGTTAACAAACTCGCAAATTGTGACGAAGGTAGCTCGAGATTTTTTTAGAACTCCGATTATAATCGCTGCTTGCTTCGTTACCTCGATAAAAGGAAAATATTTGGCAATAATCTGATTCATAAGTTTTACGATGACATTTCCTTTTACGTTCATAGAAACGTAATACGTTTCATGGAAATGTGGTCTGCAGGAATTTTTATGGCAATTGTTTACCGTTCATTAAACATTCACTTTTAATATTTGCATTCTGTGATCGGATGGAGAAAATGTTGTTTAGGTATGGAGTACTTTGCAATTTTTATTTAGTTTGAGGTATTTGAAGTTTGGAAACTTTTTATAGTTTCAGACGTTTGAGGTTTTGAACTTTTTTTAGTTTGAAATATTTGGAGTTTTGAACTGTTTTTAGTTTGAGTGTTATTTCAGCTTTGAGATAGCTGGAATTTCGAATTTTTAATTTTGAGACGTTTGAGACTTGAAATTTTTGAACTTTGAGACATCTGGACTTTGGGATTTAGAATTTTGAGACATTGGAACTTTGGAAGTTTTCAAATTTTGAGACATTTGAATTTTGGAACTATTGCAATTTTGAGACATCTGGATTTTAGAATTTTTGTTTTTGAGAAATTTGAAATTTTTTAATTTTGAGACATGTGGACTTTGATATTTAGAATTTTGAGCCACTTGAACATTTTGAAATTTTTGAATTTTCATGAATTTTGAATTTTCAAAATTGAAATTTTTAAATTTTGAGATTTAAAAATTTGTTAACCTTACAGAACTATAAAATTTGGTGTCTTTATAAACTCTAAAATTTGTATATACTTCAGCCTCATAATTATGAAAAATAATACATTGCAAGAAACTATATACTAAACTACATAGCACATTCTAAAACTTTATCTCCAATTGAATATTAAACAAACACAAAAACCCATGCTACCTTGTTTAATTTATTTCACTGCGATTACCTTTTTTCTATTAATTAGATAATCAAGATAATGTCTATTTCTACAACAGCTGAGCTCGCAAAGCACGTTAATGAATACTTACATGAGCCGCACACGATTAACACTTTCACTGCCAAGTCAATTACATACTAGTACGACGAATGTCAGTGATCTCGTATGTAACAAAACTACGGTACTATTATTTTATTATATTTACATAATAAATGTTTAATATAATTATTACATGTTATGTATACGATACATAATATATGTATACGATAATAATATTATTATTATTTATTATTTGAATGTACATGTGTGTTAAACATACACACATGATATTTCGTATTATTATTTAAAGATAAATATTGAACATATTCACCTAATATTTTATACTATTATTTATTTGTATATAAATGTCGAATATAAACATATAATATTTCATGTTATTATTTAAATATAAATATCGAATATGAACACATATATTCACGTATGTTTTTTTCATATACACGTGCTTAACACATACATATTGAATATATATATGTACTTAATATTTTATACTATTATTTATCTAGATATAAATATTGAATATAAACATATAATATTTCATATTATTATTTAAATATAAATATCGAATATGAACACATATATTCACATATGTTTTTTTCATATACACATATTTAACACATACATATTGAATATATGTATGTACCTAATATTTCATACTATTATTTATCTCAAAATAAATATTGAACATAAACCTTTAAAATTTCACTCTACTATTTATTCAAGCATAAATAATTAACATTTGATTATAAATATTGTTATAATCAATTTGCCCTACATCAATTTTTATAATATTACTATACAAGCATAATTTTCTCCCATTACTGAAAACACTTT